AAATCTGGAAAACACTTCTATTTAACGTTGGGAGGTAGAAAGAGCTTCACATTCTCTCCTACCGCATATATATGAGACGAAAACCTGACAATCTTCATATCTCAATGTTTTAAATTTAGACATCGTCCCCCTGATGACGAGTAATATTGGAAGACCTCTTCATGAAAGATACATTCTTATGAATAGCAAATCATTTGGTAATATTAAAATCGTAGAAATCTCGTCCATCACCACAGGAAGTCGTGAAGAAGGATTCACATCATGCAATTACCACAACGCAATGAAAACAGTAAAACACAAGAAGTACGGAAAAAGCAGTGGTTAGAGAAGTCATATATTAATATACACGTGGTCAATGGCTCAACTCCACCCTAGGCCGAGCAAGTACCCATCCGTTCGGAGCCATCAAACTCTCATCTAACTTGTTTGGAAAGAGTCCCGCCGATGAAAAAAGCCGTCAGCTGCATGTGCTGAAGACGTTCTAGTCGAGATATCTTAGGATTATTGGGAGAATCAATTCGACCACCATTTAACGCCATTTACGAGGAAGAGAAAGTTGTCATGTGGTATGAGAAATCAACATGCAAATTCCAAGATATTCGAGGATGACGAATGAGAGAGAACGAATCGCATGAAAGAACTGTTAGGATCCGGTGCTTCTCGTTCTCAGCAGAACACGATGGTTAAGAACTAACAAGGAAGAAAAGCAACAAGAAGACTGATAACAACATATTCAGTGATTTCTGAACATAAAAGTGCAAATCATAGTGGCGAATATTATGGATGCAAAGTGAAACTCATCAGCACTTTGAAGTGTTATGGAGAAGAAAGGAAAAAAAAACGTTATTTTCAAATCGAAGAACAGCGATAAACGCTTGTGGCACAAAGCATCCTAACCTTGAGAAAGAACAAAAGCACTGTTTTGAGTCTGATTTTAACCCTTCTACTACTTTTTCTATTCTGATTTCTTTTCAAAAACGAAGTTAACCAACCTTCTTCTACAGCTCAGAGGATACCACAGACCAATTCAAAAGTTCGTCGCACCTTCTTCCAATATGCACACAGAAAACTTACTGACTTAAGAATAGCACTAGGAACTAAGATGTGTGCATCATTTGCTTAGAAGACATTTCACCACCTTTCTAAAAACTGCTCGACACGCTTATCACAGAAGTTTCGTGATTGGTTAGGAGGCGCGGGCAAAGAACTAATAAAGATAATTTCCGCAAGATTCCAAAGAGGAAAAATCCACATCATTTAAAGCGTCGCTCTAGCAAAGAACTGAATGAATGTTATTCAGAGATTGCAACGTCTGATGGTTGTGGTTTATAAGGCAAAACACACCAACTACTATTTCTCGAACCACTCGATGGAGCTCTTCCTAATCAAAGCAATCATTTCTTTACTTACGGTCTCGAACGGTTGTCCCTGTCCAAAAGATTTGCATCGTCGAAACCAAAACCTCGTTCACAAAAATGTCCAAAGCACTTAATACATTTGAAATTCATCTTTTCTATGTATGTACTATGCATACAGTTCCTTGAGTCTACACTGCGCTCTTACTTTTCCAGAAATAAAAAAGTATAAGGCTTTAAAATCCTAATTTGTAATTTTCGTTCATACAAGAAGTTTCTTCAAGCGCAGGTATCGCAGTGGTAGTCGCCGAATATGAGCAAAGTCCTTACTCGACCACTTTGTTCGTCTACCAATTTGCCCATCCCTTCGAGAACGGAATCGGTACCGGATCTGTCTGACAAGAGCTCCCTTCGATCAACAAATCCTGGTCACTACTTGGGGCCATAACCTAAGGATGCTCTAGAACGGCTATCTCAAGACCAAAAACCAGGGGACCGGGGAAAATAGAGTTGCACAGTGGTTAGTGATGCAGTCCATCAGGAAGCAAGCCGCTGGTTTGACCTCCTTTCCAAAGCTCTCCCCCAATCCAAGTGGGAAGGTCCTAGTTCAGCTACTCCCAATTCATGCTAGAACGCCCTAGCTCGGCTATCTCCAAAATTGCAAGAAAAATGGACTCGACCAGCATTCTACGACATTCATAAAAAAGGCAAAATCCTTAAGCAGCAGGTACTATAGCTCGTAGAATTTTGTGAGCCCTTCGTGGATGAGAAAAACGAAATGAATGCAAAAGGTACCGGGATCAGCGCAATATGTGATGTTGGGTCGTGCAAAAAACAAGCTGGTAGGTCGAAACAAGTACGACAGTTCATCCTGTGTTCCTTTTTTATAATCGCATTGGAATAACAGAACAGTCGGAACAGCAATTCATACGGAAATGTGGATTCCACGTGACGATAACAAAGTGGATGTGCGACATGATATCGTTATGTAGCTTAAATCATACAAACCTTTGTATCAACCCAATGAGAACACGTGGGACAACATAAACCAGACAAAGCTTGGGGATAAAAGGATGTTCAAATTTCGTTGATTATCTAGACCGAAACTATATGGCTACACGTTATGACCGAAAAACGGTAATGTGAAGGGAACCACTGAAACCACTGTCAAGACAGTTCGGCGATCTCTCGTGCTAATACTATGTTCGTTAACAAACTCGCGATGAAGATGCTTTTTCGAGAACAAAAGACGACTCCTTTATCAGAGTATCTTAGGAGTTCGGAAATTTGTAGATTTATGAGAAGGACTTTGCTTTATTGTGTTAATTACATATACAAATTCTGTAGTGTCCTTTAAAATTTAGATGTTTGGAATCTTAACTTCGGAAAACTGATAAATGACCACAAGTGTCTTAGATTTCTAACCGAAGAGTGACAACTGCAAACATTAGCGATCTACGGGGGCATACCAGCGTGTCAGGCTGGACGAAATTCCGCTTGTCCACCTGCTTTCATTTTCGAAGTATGAGTTATAGCAAAGTGGAAAAAATGTATGTCATGGGATCCAGAAAATCAGAATTTCATCGAGGAGAAGCAAGAGCACTTTCATAGTGTAGGCAAAGACATGTACACTTCAGAGGTTCACGCTATTATTAGCGAAATTCACTACCATATGTTGGCCTAGAGTTAAAAGCGGTCATTATTTTCTCATCGTATGGCTCTTATTGGTGAACACGTCCTCGCAGCTCAGCAAACATTCACCACACTCTAGGTATATTCATCGAATGAAGTAATTAGAACGGTCTCATCACGCCATTCTATTGATAGTTGCGAAAAAATTGTTATTTCGTTGCTATCAACCGAGTACTCCTAGTGCGATGCAAACTGTCAGCCTTGACCAATGTGCTTTTTTAAAACTGTGTGGAAAGCATGATGACGCTGAGATATTCGCAAAACTCCGGACCGCTAGTAGGTGTGCAGTAGGGAACGGAACGTGTTATTACCCTTTCCAGAGGCTAGTGCGTTCACCATCACATCATGCCGATCCTTTTCGTTTCGCCTGTCTCTCAGCAGTGTTATTGACCTATGGGTGCTATCAGCAATTAAAAAGAGAATAGGCACTCAATAAAAAGTGACATTCAACCACAGTTACGCTGAGATATTTGCAAAACTCCAGATCGCATGTGTCTGCGGTGAGGATCGAACACGATTTTACCCTTTCCGGGGGCTAACGTATTCACCACCAAAACTCCCCACCGCAGACATCTGCGGCCCGGAGTTTTAACAAATATCTCGGCACCATTGTGGTTGAATTTCATGTAATACCCAGATGTGCAAAACTAAAAATAGAAACATCTGAAGCAGTTTTGTTCTCAATTTATTAACATGTTTAGTAAAAAGCCTCCCAATGGTTTACCGCCCCATTTTGACCGTTAGGTGCTCCTGGGCGTCGAGTTCCGATGTGCACCAGGGGGATTCACCCGCTTAGTAGGGCCTACCATGTTGAGGAGTCCGGCGTTTCGATCAGGAAGCCTAGCTAACAGTAAACCAATACTAGGATCCACCACTGTCCTGGTATCAAAGTCGCATGGTGGCAAATCTCCCCCTGATCCACAAGGACGGCGACTGCACGTGGTAGTGGCGACCTGGGGCAGACTTTTGGCCAGGCCGACCTCGATACAATTCCAGTGAACCACAATGGCCAAACGAGCAAAACTTGAAAAATGGAGATTGTGCTGGGTCCGCACAACCAGTGAGGATGGACAAACAAAGTATCAAAGTAAGTAAAAGTATATGAGCCGACATCAAATATTCTGCAGATCACTGCACTTCTATGTTTCAACTAGTTTATTCGCATCTCCATCATCCACAAAAGTCTGTCGATTTGCATGTGGACTTTGCTGCAGCTTGAGAATTTCTGGTGTGCTTTATGAATGCCGTTGAATGCTGATAGAATCGGTTTTCTCCGTAATCCTGGAATAAACTTGCTAAGAAGCCTTCCACCACAGGCAAACACCAGTCTGTGAATCCAAAGAATTTCTAAACTCATACTAACTATTCAAGGGGTGGATAGCACAATGGTAGTGATGCCCATCATCACGAGTATGGTACTAGTGGTCGGGAAATTGGTACCGGACTTATCTGGGAAAAATCACTCTCTGGAATCCAATTGGGAACGCTCCAGTCAGGCTACCTCAGAACTCCAGGGAGAATTGCTCGACCAGCACTCTACGACATCCAAGATGAAACGGAAATCCTCAAGCAGCAACCTAAGCCAAGTCACACATTAAAGTTGGAAGATATTCGTGGACAATGGATGCGAGGAAACGAATCGAATGCGAAAAGTGCTGGAATCCGCACAGCAGACGTGAAGATGAATCAAGTAAAAAAAATACTAACAATTCGAACACAACCAATCACTGTTTTTCTTGATGAGCAAACACGAGGTGGTTATTACAGCGTTTAGTAACGCACAATAGCCGATGTTTCGGCAGCTTCGCCCTCTTCAGCGCTTGGAGAGGTGCACTCCACTCAGCTAAAGGATTTCATAACCTCAGCAGATAGAACGTAACACGTGAATTTCCATTCGCATCATAATAAACAGCTTCTTTTAAGCACTGCTAAGTGGAAGATCTTCGGGAGATTTTAGGCAAACAAACAAATAAAGGCAACGTGGGCGATGGAACACTGGGGAAATAGTTTTGTGGAAAAGTGAGGAGGGACAAATCCATGAGGAAAGTGCATCTGTTTCGCTCCTTCGTCGTAGTCACCAATCACGTGAATCGTTTCGCTATCGATCCACACCCGTGCACTTCGCGGCTTTCGTATCATCTGGTCGTAATCATCATCATCATCATCATCATCACCATCATCATCATCATCATCATCATCATCATCATCATCATCATCATCATCATCATCATCATCATAACAGTCGTCGTCGTAAACATCACTGATTAAAGGATGCGTCGACATTATTTCATCCATTGCACAACTGCTGCTAGTGGTTTCGATTCAGATGGTTAAGTTATCAGTAGAAAAAAAAATCCTTTAATAAGAAACCACTCATCTCAATCGTCCTAACTGATAAGGCCTCAAGCACGTCCATTATGAGCAACAATGAATAAACATCATAAGACATATTTATTAAAATTATTTAGGTTCCACTAAGTTATATAATCTTTATTCGGCCAATATTTCGACGTCTTCGCCTTCTTCAGAGACGACGATCGGACTCGGTGGCCCAAAGTGGTTCGCCCTCGAGTTGTGGGTCTTCGTAGTCGTATTGAGTCGAATCTTCCAAAGTCGCTCGAATGAAGTAGCCTAACTCGACGGTATCTTTTTATATAGGGCGGATTACTCCTGATGGTCGGCTGTGAACTATCGACTAGCATCATCGGCCCTGAAGAAGGTGAAGACGAAACGTTAGCCGATTAAAGGTTGTATTACAACCTTGTGCGAACTCAACGATCTATACAAATATATTCTTTATTTACGTTGAAGTTAAGTGAAAATCGATTTAGTAAAGTACCATTCGGCATGTTCCAAATTTTGCAGCACGTAATGGAGACAAAGTGAAATTGTACCCTGCGTTGAACAACAACAGTTCAGTGAACGAGAGAGTAGATGAATGGAAACATATGATTTATTTATCACACATCACTATTACTTCACCAGAAAGATTTGGAGGAAACGGTAATGGGTAAGATTTGACGCTCGGAGGCCAACATTCCTCCCTCATTGAGCAATCTGACCTCTATCTAACATAACCGAGAACAGAGTAACTCCTCTCATGGTACAGCAGAAGAGTCCTTTTCATTTGTAAGAATATTACCGTGGAATGTGTGTTTTGTCAACGTTCAAATCGAATTGAGCCCTTCAGCTATCACACCATCTCCACGAACAACACCCTATATTAAATGAGTTAGCAATCCGGGAGTGATAATGAGATTGTTCAATCAGGGATTTACGATAATGGTATACTATGAATGGATACCTAGGACTAGCACCTTGACAACGGACGAGACGAGTGCACAGCGTTAATAATCAGTCTGATAAGCAATGTCGTTCAGACACAATCAAGTGAAGAGAATGAAATCCCGAAGAACATAAGTTCTCTGCGAAAGGATACTTAGTACGAGGAACTGGAAGAACACTCTGCTATGGAACGGACAAAATGGAGAGTGACTAGTAGGATGAAGACAACACTTACACGTTATTAGTCAAGCCTTGTAAGCAGAAACACCAGCCAGTTTCTCTTAAGCCATTTACCATTGACGATAATAAACGCACAAACACACAATGTCACACGGTCAAACAGTTTCCGTTAAATGGAGAACGTACAGTAAAGATCAGAAACGAAGACTTGTTCTTAACCGTCACAGCTCAAAAAGTCATGTGAACAAACGGCAGTTTGTTGAGCGAAATGATGAAGTCGACGACATGAGAAGAACGTCAGTCCAATTGGTTGTTTGCTAGAGCATTTGGAAAGACCACAAACTTCAACTTCTGAGGTATTTGTAGGCTATTAAAGTATTTTAGCGTTGAATTCAATGGGTGTTTAAGGTTCTTAAAGACTGATGAACATGATTCCAACAAACGCCTGGACAAAATATTACTAAATGACAACGATTTGAATAGTAAGAGGACAGAAACGTGTGAAAGAATTGCACTAAGACATAAATTCACAGTACTAAGAAGTACGGGAATGACGAAAGAACAACTTTAGTCCTGTTGTTCTCTGATGCCCAAGGCCAAAAAGCTGCAAACTTACATGGCCCCTAAAGATCCCTAGATTCACGCAGAGGCATTGTTATTAGGACAGGGAATTAAGAGCTGTTGAAAAGTGAACCTCAAGGCCTACATTGTACAAACATGAAGAAAGAAACTAAAAATGAATCCATAAAAAGTATCAATGTTACTACTAGCATTGTAGATTGCACGTTACTACTACACTATTATAATACTACAGTTATTATATTGTATTATGTTATTATATCACTTCTACCGCCTCATCGTGGCTAGGGTGTACCTCCTGGGTGTAGGGCAGCGATGTACAGTGGGGATTTTTCGCCCCAGCAGGGTCTCCCAAGTTAAGAAGGGGTCCGATGTATCCATTAGGAAGCCCAGCTAAGAGTAAACCAATACAACGATCCACCACCGTCCTGGTATCAAATTAGTCGGGTAGTGCCAAATCTGCCTCTGATTCACAAGGGCGATGAACCAGTGAAGAGGGGCCATCTAAGTATCCCAGTATTACAAAACTATATTATTACTACTATTACTATTACTATTGTATTTTTGCTATATTATTACTGTCATCGGCCCTGAAGAAGACGAAAACGTCGAAACGTTAGACTAATAAAGGTTATATAACAACCTCATGTACGCTGAATAATCTAGACAACCATGTTGATTACCACTATTATTGTTATCATGATTAATATTATTACGCCCTGTAATAACTGATAATGATACCGAGTGCTAGAGAATGGAATGGCCTGAGAAAATCAAGCGATTACCAACGAGCTATCAGTACCAAAAACCGTCCCGTATAAGAGAGCACTGCCCAGTGGGCTTCGTCCATTCGACTCGCTGCAACCAGGAAGACTCCTATCGGAATAAAAAACAGCTGTGGACAATCGACTCGGATCAATCCGGCTCCGAAGAAGGCGCAATGCCCGAAACGTTAGGCGAATAAAAATCTTTTTCATCAACCCCATGTTAGTCTATCAACAAGAGTGTCTTCAGGCAGTGTACAACAAGAAAAGATCACGTACATATCAGCGTCACACCTTGTTACTAAGAACTACGGAGCTTAGGTTCAACTGCCTTAACCTCGCCTTTTTTTGAAAAATTAGCTCGCTCTTAAGGCTGTCATCCTCGATAAGATGATTTCTAAGCGAAAATCGTAACAAAGCGACGAAATTCCATAGATCTATTGAGATGTGTGGGAATCCAAACACGAACGATCCAACTACGATCGAAACGATACGTGCATTTCTTCAAAGTGCTAAAATTGCCAGTTACGGAAAATGCACATCAATAACGGATGAGAAGTTGATGATTCAATAATGTGTGGTGGTGGTGCAACGAGGCCGACACGCACTGCGATCGAAAATTGCACTCCTGATGCAGTCGGGCCGTTGCCGCCGTCCGGCCGGGCGGACGCCAGCAGCCGTCGTCGGCCGCATGGGCGGGCGCCGAGGCGGCCGGCGCGTTCATGCTCGATTCCACGAACCCGCCGCAGCAGACATCAAAGACCACGCGGCGCCATGCAGCCGCAAAGCGGAGGCAGCCAGTCGGAGAGAATTGCGCACGAGGGAGGTGGTAGAAACCAGCTTTCTATTAGGTAAGGCATTCATTAGTAGATTACTTGGATAGTTGGATGACCCATCTTCACTGGTTGTGTGGGTCCCAGCATAATATCCATTTTTTCGGAGTTTTGCTGGCTCAGCTATTGTAGCTCCCTAGCGTCCCGAGGACAGTTTGGCCAATGTCTGCCCCAAATTGTCACCACCATAGGCAGTCGCCACCCTTGTAGATCAAAGGGAGATTCGCCACCAAGTGACTAGTTTGATATGAGGGCGGTGGTGGATCATGGTGTTGGTTTACTCTTAGCTGAGCTTCCTGATAGAGGCCCCGGACACCTCAGCTTGGGTAACCTTGCTGGTGGGATGAATCTTCCCGCTGTACATCGCAACCCTACACCCAGAAGCACGTCTTGGCCACGATGAGGCGGTAAACCGTTGGGAGGGATCAGTAGATCAATATTTGTAAAATATGTGATTTCTACGAACTGTCATTATTGACTCAAAAGACCGACTTTCTATAAACCTCGGCATAGATAGTTGATATATTTATTTATGTGATCTTATAAACTGATCTTCTTTAGCTGATGCGAGGTTGGTATAGGTTTTCGTTGTCGCTGTCGTTGTTGCTCTTGTTTGTATTGTTCTTCACTAACACTCACAGTCCACTCGTAAAATCACGGCTCTGAGGAAGGGGAAATCGCCGAAACGTCAGCTATCGCCGAAACGTCAACGGCAACAACAACGACAACAACAACGAAAGCCTATACCAACCTCGCATCAGCTAAAGAAGATCAATTTATGAAATCATATAAATAAATATGTCATTATTCAGCTGACGCGGTTCTTATCAGTTGCTGTCATCATCGTGATTCGGTGGTTGACGTTTCGGCAGTTTCACCCTCTTCAGAGCCGTTTTATAAAGTTTAGGAGCACCTGTGTGTTGTTCATGTTGGATGGCGATTGTATTTTCAATAGTTCTAACCTATTGGTTAGGGCGATTGGCAGTGCCATTGTTAGTGATTCAGTCTATCAGGAAGCAAACTACGGATTCGAGCCCCTTCCCAAAGTTCTCCTCCAATCCATGTGAGAACCCCTTAGCTCGACTATTTCCAACAGTGCAAGGGGATTAAACTCGACCATCATTCTACGACATTCATTATCCGTCGAAATAGCATGTAAAATGTTCGAAGACCATTATGGAGAATAAATTCAAGCAAAGAAAATGGATGAAGTACAGGCAAACATGAGAATAGTAGATGTGATGACGGGTAATGTGAACTGTATACGTGCGTCTGAGTGTATGGTGTGTGCGTATGTGTGTATGTGTGTATATATACATATCTGTATGTATGTATGTGTGTGTGTATTTGTATGTGAGAAAATGTATTGGTCAATATACACATACGACTAGTGATTAGTATGCAGTTAATATCAATATTATATGAATGTGTCGTTTTCTTGTTCAGCAATCGCGAGGTTTTTAAACAGCATACATTTACTTCCATAGAGAAACACAATACAATACAACGCTAGCTGACGTTTCGGCAGTATCGCCTTCTTCAGAGCCTCGAAGGGTATACTGATACACAATCTACTAGGCCAAACGCTTCAATAACACTCACAAAGACGAAAGGCTCTTTGGTAATTACACGATCAACAACTTCTCGAAAAACC